GGGGGGGGGGGGGGGGGGGGGGGGGGGGGGGGGGGGGGGGGGGGGGGGGGGGGGGGGGGGGGGGGGGGGGGGGGGGGGGGGGGGGGGGGGGGGGGGGGGGGGGGGGGGGGGGGGGGGGGGGGGGGGGGGGGGGGGGGGGGGGGGGGTAGATGACATGGCGTCACAAAATTATTCGTTTTGCTCAGGGAATGTAGCCAAACCCGCTTAATCACCAAAGTTGATACGTTCCATCACTTTTTTTAAGTCCCTCATGCTTCCCTCAATGAGCGAGAAATCCAATAATTGGCATTGATTCGAGAATGAGACGATCACTTGCCATTACTCTGCGCCTAATGTTCTGACAGCAGTATCGGGGAGTTGCTCCTAACGGATAGAGCCTGAGCTCCACTTAAGTTTACATGTCGCCAATCAGACGGCGTGGTTCGAGAGAAATGGAAACGAGCACCCTCACCTCCGCAGTGTTTCTACCACTGATCGTTTTTCTATTTCCTATTCAATCGTTAACGACCACCATCGATAGAGCAGGGCGCCGAAGGCGAGCTCATTACGCCTCTCCTGCCACCCCGACTGATTGCGACGTTATCAACTATACTAGTAGCTGTCGTTCGGCTGATTAAAAGCCCGTTCTTCAAGAGGATATCCTATCCGAAATTTTGTTTAAATGTCGCAGTACTTCATTATAAACCTAGTACTTGGAGAGTACTTCAAATCTATGAAACGAAATAGTTAAGTGGGAGAAAATTTATGGTATTACCTGTAGTAATGGAACGGGATGACTTGATGATAACCAGTGAATGTTCGGTGTCATCACTCGAAGTCGATGTGGTAGGCGAAAGAGAATGGTTTGAGAGCGCAGAATGCCTAGGATACGGCTAGTATACTCAAATGAAGTGACTTGAATAAAAAAAAGAAAAGAGCGATACGTTGAATACGAAGAAATCGGATGACGAGAGTCGGTGGAGCCAGGACGCCGGTAATGATTTGGCGTTTTTGGGGTACCATTTGAAGACCTTCAAAAGCTCAGTGATAAATCTCTACTCGCAAAAGTGAAAACACAGTAACAAACCAAGGTGAAAAGGTGTCTGTGGCAATGCTCGGTCGTTTCTTTGCCGTCGGAATCGTGGTGTCGGTGACCTGCTGCAGCTTTTTCATCAGCGAGTCATGTTGATGTATAAGCTCCATCTGTAACGAACCCTTTGGTGTATCTGATAAGGATGACGCACGAGCAGTCAGTGCCATCATGCCAGAATTGTCGCAGCTATTTACTTTACCCGCTAGCAGCTCTCTTATCTACATGAGCTCCTATCATCTAATCGATTTTACTACCATCAAAAGAAACTTGGAAAAGATCAGAGATCATTCATTACAACTAAGAAGGGAAAGAAGAAGAGAAGGTTCTTACATGAAGCTGTCTCGCCTCCGGTGAGTGCCGGTTACTTGACTGTAGCGCCTGCCAGAGATCGAATTTCGCTTTCAGTGTTTCATAGTCTTGCGTAATTTCAGCCGCCTTACGCAGCTCGCCGACGCCGTCGGGAGAAAGAAGCGAAAGTTCTTCATAGGTCTTCTTCGGCAGTGAGGGTGACTTCGCAGTGGATGAGTTTTCGGCTTTAGATTTAACCACTGGAGGTACTGTTGCCGGCATTGGAGGTATCGGCGCCCTTGCCTTCTCCACTGCCCTGCCTATAGTTCCATCGAATTGTGTTACTCGAATCGTTTTGTACCTGAAACAAGTAGTCATTGAAGCTATTTGCTCTTCGTCCGGAAAGAAAACGCTGCTCACCCGCTCGTATCATTCAGCAAGATGTTTGACTTCCTCTCAACGAACGGAACATCTGATTCGGGAGGAGGGGGAGAGAATGTGGAAGCCCGGACTGTTCCATGAGGAGAATAATGGATGACATCGTGCACAACGGAAGAAGACACTGCACGTTTCGATTCCCTCGGCTCTTCCTGGAAAATCCTCCTAATCACTTCAAAGCCCACATCTTTAGCCCATTAACTTCTACATAGCTAAACAAATGTTCGAAGTTGGGTTTTGAAGGCTCAGGCTTTTTCTAAAGAAGGTAGAAGGTAGATTAGCTGATACGTACTAACATGCGCGAGTCCAATAAACAGAAATACTAGCATGCAATATGAGAAGCTACGCACGAGTAATGCTAAAAGCAGTTGGCACGATAGATCCCTTACAAGGGAGGTCATTCAGGTCATGGGGCGCTTTTTAGGAATGGTTTGTGGCATGTTTCAGGGTACTACAGTCCTCATCATTGCGGACCGGTGGGGCGTGGCAGTGCGGCTGCATTTGGTGCGGTTTGGCAAAGTCGTTCTGCACCAGTTTTTGAAGCGAACAAGTGCATTACTGTATAATATCCTTCGTATTACTCGTTTTCTACCACTTTTTGTCGCATACGCGTTGCAACAAAAAGGCTGAGAACGGCTTCAACAGTGTGCGCACGGTCCAGCTTCTGGCTGACACGCCCCACCGGTCCGCAATGATGAGGGCTGTAAATACCACAAAAATGGGTTCAATTTTTGCCATGAGTTACGACTGGGAATGACAAAAAAGTGAGTGCAAAAAAATTGAGAAAAGAGAAAAAAAGAAACAAGGGCGATTTTAACCATCTATTGGGCTCCGTTCTAGGTGTAACTTGGAGCATACACAGTTTATGAGGTGTTCCTTAACTATGTATCGGAAAGAGAGCAAAATAAAGTCAAAAAGTAACGAGTACGTATCATGGCATGGGGAGAGGTAGTATTAAAGTTATTTCAATGATTCCCGCATGGCCAACGGATGGTGGAGTGAATAATGCGAGGAGTCCACGACCTTCGGGTTGTTTGCGGATCGGATCCGCTTGTGGGCAGGATAATGCGCGACACCTTAACAAGGGAGGTCGTTCAGGCCGTGGTGAGCTTTTTCAAAACGATTTGTTGCATGTTGTAGGGGTCCATACAAGGACCACACAGATGGGTTTCATTTTTGCTAAACGCTATTGGGAATGCCAAAAAAGGAATAAAAACAAATCGCTCAAAATACGCAAATTTTATCATCTCATTCGCATCTGTTTCTGCTGTAAAGCAGAATACATAGAGTTTATAAAGTGTTCCTCAACTAGACATGAAAAACAATACTGAATAAGGTCGAAATTGAAGTGCTTTACTTTGCATACAGTGAGGTATACTGCAGTTTCTTTAGGGGTTTATGCAGCATCCCTTCGCGCTCGCAGTGGCCATTTAGCGCCACGCTGGCCCCAGATTACGTCGGCGCCATAAATAATTGTCAGAATCGTGATCAGGGCCATTGATTACCCCTATTTAAGAGGTTTCAGCGAAAAATTTTTTTCGAGTTTTTTGGTGGTCATGGACTTGACCATTTGGATGGCAGTGACAGGCGAACCCACCATTGGGTATCCTCTCTCTGGCATACAAATCACCAGAAATTTTTCATTTCTTGCACTCTCAACTTCAGTAGGTTTACATAGAACACCGTGCTGGCTTCGGAGTCATTAAACGAGCATCCTGAAACTTTCTCCACTTTTACCGTCTTCGACAATTTCGACAAAGAACTCGTTACCACCTGCCCGGAAAAAAAATCTTGTTTCTCCCATATCAAAGGTATTAGTGGTGTGCAGTGTATGTGCTTCACTGTTCTGTGTGGCTGTTAATTCTCGTCTGCATACTAACAAATGAAAAGCCCCTCTTAACGATGTTAAATAATGACTCTTTAGGGGGGGGAACTGATAGCCACTAGCTGGAGACATGGCAGGCACCATAACACAAAAAACTCAGAAAAAAAATTTTCCGACGTAACTCTATACGTAGGGATAGTTCATGGTCCTGATCACGGTTCTGACACTTATTTTTGGCACGGAGGCCATCTGGGACCAGTATGGCACTAAATAAGCCCCGCCGCGCAGACTAACAATGGTGCTAGTACGAGAAAGCCTTTACACCAAATTGGCGACACATTGCGCCATATTTAAAAATGAGTGTCATGTTCATGATCAGAGCATCGGATAACCGCCGTAACCCAAGTTTCATAGTGAGTTTCTTCGATAGTATTTCGCGAGCGTAACAATTGAGGCGAGGCGCAGGAGGCCCCGTTGTGAACTGTTCCCGCATGGAATGTGCCTTTAAATGGCGTATATCCGGGTCATACACATTATGGGGCATTCGGGAATACAAGATGCAAGAAATCTGAAAAATGCAAAAAGTGTGCCACCAAGGGGATCCGATCCACAAACCCACCGTCCGAGAGCCCGTCGCACTATCCACCACACCAACTGCCACTGCGAGACCGCAGATACAGGACCTGAAGAGAACTCGCAGATGACTGGAAAACTCCAATGCAGCTCACTACATGCCAAGTAAAGCATTTGGATTTTGACCTTATTTTGGGCTGTTTTTCATGCCTACTCAAAGGATACCCTACATACTATACCCTGTCAACGCTACAGCTAGAACAGAGGCGAATAAGGTGGTTTAAAAGTCCATTCTTTTCGAATTATTTTTGACCTTTTTTGACATTCCCAGTACCGTTTAGCAAAAATGAACCCCATCGCTGTGGTCCTCGCATAGACCCCTACAACATGCAACAAACCGTTTTGAAAAAGCTCACCACGGCCTGAACGACCTCCCTTGTTAGTTTGGCTGTGGCACCCGATCAGCGCACGCAAAGGACTGGTTCCACTTCAACTTTTCAGGTGTAGATATTGCGTACATATATCTGTCTTTTTTGAAATTTAATGTAATTGCTAATTAGGAGTGTATATAGCAAATAGAAAGGGTCTAGGTATTGAAGCTGGATAACGACTTCTACAGGGTATTGATCGCCACCAGTTCAGCAAGACCATCGTATCGAACAGCTCGAGGAGAAAAATTTTGCTGAAACTCTGTATATAGGGGTTATTAATGGCCCTGGTCACGGTTCCGAACTCTATAATTGGCGCCGAAGCCATTTGGTGCCAGCATGGCTCTATATCTCCCTTGGGTGCGGGGTGGGATGCTGCGAGAATCGCTCAAGAAGTTTCAATGCTACCTCGCTGTGTGCCAATTAAGGTACTTTTTTCACCTTGACTTGTATTGTTTTCGATGCAAGTCGACGAAGGTCTTATTTGCTATGCATTCTCAGCATTAGAAATAGAAAAGGGCCTAGAAAAATGGCTCAAAACCCTTAGAAAACTTTCCACTCTTTTTTGGCGTTCCTAGGAAAGCATAGCAGAACGAATCCTTATGCCTAATCTTAAATACCTAATCTCCTTATCCTTTTGTGATCCTTACATCGACCCCTACAATATGCAACAAACCACTTCTAGAAAGCGCGCCACAACCTGAATGACCTCCGTGTAAGAGGGGTAAGATTAATACGCCTCGCAGGACGGGATTCCGCGTCCCTGAGAAGGCGCTGCGTAGCGCCTTTTCCAAAGGAAGGTACCCTTATAAGGCCCTATCAAGCTACAACATACCGACCCAAACGCCCACCGCGCCCGCCCGCCCACAAATGGACGACCGTACCTGATGCTTCATTTGCTAAGTAAAATATGAAGCGAAGGAATTGGTATGAAGCGGCTGCGGTGCTGCATGGATAGGGTGTACATACGAGCAGCTGTACCCACCGCAGAGGTTGTTGGCAAAAGCCAACTGGAAACTAGTCTGAAATCGCTTTGTGAGTCATTCAGAATGAAGGTTTTTCTCTGCAGGTTTCTGACCGTTTCGCTCCGTTTTCTCGCCATTTCAAACTGCGTACAGTCCTCATCATTGCGGACCGGTGGGGCGTGTCAGCCAGAAGGAGTGCGCACACTGTTGAAGCCGTTCTCAGCCTTTTTTGTTGCAACGCGTATGCGACAAAAAGTGGTAGAAAACGAGTAATACGAAGGATATAATACAGTAATGCACTTGCCCGCTTCAAAAACTGGTGCAGAACGATTTTGCCAAACCGCACCAAACGCAGCCGCACTGCCACGCCCCACCGGTCCGCAATGATGAGGACTGTATATAGCGCCATCTTAGAATTTTGGGGCTGAGTACCAAATTATTGTGTTAACTGCCTCCAAAGATCGGTACTCAGAGACTCTTCGGAATCTTCTGTGAACTGTGAACCTCTTTCAGGGAAGTTACAAGCGCTTTTTAAGCAGAAACATACACTTTTTGCACATAAGGGTGCTTTATATGTGCCTCGTAGCTCAACGGTTATACGTTTGGTCTCATCTCTACAATTCTATCGTAACTAGGTGCAGTTATTAGGTTGTCCGGAAAGTTCTGCAGGTTTTGTGTTACTATTTTTTGCACATTCATTGCTGATTAAAAACTCATTCTCCCTTGCGTCTCAGTAGTACATCCTGAAGAGAATTCTTTGCGCTATCTGATGGTATAACTGCCGTTTCACCATTGCTTGATGAACCCCTTTTTTCAAGATTTTTTCAAGCATGTGAAAAGAGCACTTCGGACGATTTTTTTCTTCGACTATAAATTGGGGCAATCCGCAATCGAAACAGCTCAACAAATTAACCAGGTGTGGGGGCCCAATAGTGCTAGAGAAAGCACTGTGCGGCAATGGTTCAACAAATTTCGTTCTGGAGATTTCAACCTTGAAGATGAACCTCAGCGGTCGACCCTAGCGGTCGACCTAAAGCAATATCTGACGAGGATTTTAAGGGGATTTTGAAGGCTGACCCATCCCAAACAGTTCGAGAGATTGCAGAGAAAGCTAGGCGTTGGCAAATCCACTGTCTATTGCGTGGACGCATAGGGAAGTGAAAAAAACTCGACAATTGTGTTGCCCCATCGAATCGAGAGACCTGGCAGGAATCGACACTTCGATGGGTTCATTCGCTATTGCTTTGCACCGCACAGAATCGACCTGTTTTATGTGACCGAACTTCACCCATTTTGGCACGGCTTGCAGTCATCTGTGTTATCATTATAACTTTTATCGCATGCTAACCATCCATGCAGGCACCCTGCTTGTGAAGGATCGAACAACTCTCACTACACTCCGCTCTCCAGACAGACTTACAACAGAGGCTTCGATTCTTTTGCATGACAACGCCCGCCCACCTTCACAAATCACTATCCATAAATTGAACGAATTGGGGGTTGAAGTTCTACCTCAACCGCCATATTCTCCAGACCTTTCACCAACCGAATATTCCCTTTTCAAACATTTTCAGAACTTCCTTGCTGGAAAATACTTCATCAATCAGGACCAGGCAAAAAAGCCTTCGTGGATTTCGTGAATTTTCGACCACCCAGTTTTTTACTTTGATGGGATTTCTCGACTGCTGTCACATTGGCAAAAGTGTGCTGATTCGAATGGTGCTTATTTGGATTAAATCCGATGAGTGTTAAGAAAGTTATGATCGTTTAAAGTTAAACACTCAAAACCTGCAGAACTTTCCGGACAACCTAATATATTCATTTTAGTTGCGAGAATGCCGCCCCTAAGACTCCGTGACAAGAGAGGCCCGCAGCATATATCAAAGACGGAGTCGTAAATACCGTTCAAAGACACACCAGGTGTAGGAATCTGATTTCAAAGGCCACTTCGACCTAACATCTTCCCCTTATTATCGTCCCTAACTTTGTGCCAGACATTAGGTTAGAGAGTAAAATCCCAGGAGAGGTTTCCCGAAAAGGCTATTCATTGCAGTAAATTCAAGAACGAGTTGCTTTACAAAATACCGTACATTAAATGTAAAGATAAGTAACGCACCTTTGTTTTACTGGGAATGACCTCCTTCGGCATCTCCAGCTTCTCCTCGGATAACCCGTTGAGTTCTTCCTTCTCAGACTTGTGCTCCTCCTTTTCGACGCTTTTCAATGGCTTCTCAGACACCGCTTCCCCTGTGAACACACAGTTGTGAAGTGTACAGTGCTGTTATCAGTACTGTCTTTCATAATGAAAAAGTTTTCCCAAGTGACGCATCGTATGGTTCGTCATGTGCTATCGCTAGCCATATTTGTTAAGAATGACTAGTTAAACAACGGTAACTATTGACATGGGATAGAAGAAAAACAAGATGAGGTCGAGTCAACTCATTCATAACACGCCTCCGTA